GTCCTGGAGACGTAGTAAATAACTTTGACAAAAAAAGATAGACATAATAAATAACAGATAAAATGTAATAAGTCAAAATATCTCGTTAACTATTTAACATAAAAGTTGCCGAAAATTTTTATGTTATATTTAAATTATGATATTACAATATAAATACAAAAATGTGGAATTTTCTTTATGCTTAGAAGTTTATGTACCATATATTAGTTATAAATTATTGCACGGGTTGCATCTTGTTTTGTTGAGTAATTGCCTACTTTTTTTTGCTTCGAACGTATATTGCCTTGGAAAAATTATCCGATCAGTCCTAAATTTATTGTACAAATGTTAATTTAATCTCAAACTTATCAATTTTGCCAATTTAGTCCTAGACCTTTACTTGAAATTCCAATGTAATCTTTCCAACTAATTTTTGCCGGAAATCGCTGATATGGCTGTCCAGTAATTGCTAGCTGCCACATAAGGCATGTAACAGTCTGAATTTTCGATCCTTTTCTCGGGATTTAGGAAATGAATTTGATCAATGCACTTATAGTGAGATCTCACCCGGAAAATTACGATTTTGCCCCTAGGCTTATTTTTGGGTATTCCGAATATTGGGGATTTTGGAAATTGAATTTGGGGATTAAGTGTGGATAAATATCAGCCCCAAAATATTGGACAAAAACGCCCTTAGATATTTTGGTTTGGAAGAATGTGGACCAAGTGTTTTAGGGGCAAAATTGGAATTAAGAAAAAATTGGTCAAACCTTGGACCAAATATTTAATTGTTTCTCTCCTCTCTCTCTCTCCTCATTCCCTCTCTTCTCTCGGCAGCCCCTCCCCCAACAGAGAACTCTCTCCCTCTCTCCCTCACCAAAAATCCTCTCATCTCTCTCTCGGCCTTGGACCGCCGATCATCGCCGGAGCATCGCCGGAGCAAGCCGCCACCGCCGATCGCCGCCGGCCAGCCGTTCCCCCTTGCCGCTCTAGCCGAGTTAGTCTAGAGTTCGGGTAAGTCGCGATCTAATTCCTATTTAGGACGTCGGGTATTTTCGGACTCGTTCGGGTATGGTTTAGAGGATTTAGAGGGCGATTAAGGTGTCGATAATGGTTTTTGGTGACTGATCGTGGTTGTTGATGGCTGATGGTGACTGTTAGCGGGTGCTGCGGGTTGGATTAGACGTCGAGAAATGAGTTTAGGTGGTTGGAATTCGGTAGGAATCGGTTCGGGTTTGAATCCGTGAGGTTCGGGGTGAATCGCGGATTCGCGGTTACTGTACCTTCCCGGTTTGTTATTTTTGTAGAGAATTTTGGGAGCCGAATTTGAGGAAATTTTCTTCATGAAAGTTTCTCTCAACATCTTGAAGTATAACATAATTTAATTTGGAAATTTTTGGAAATCATTTGAGACCATTCGGAAGTCCATCTTTGGACCGAAATAAAACTGCCCGATTTACTGTTCACCCGACCTTCGGGTCTGTTCGAATTTTTATAAATTTTTCCAGACCTATTTTCAAAATTATTACTTCACAAAAGTTGTTGGGGACATTCGTGGCTATAACATATAAAAATTTCAAAGCTTTTCAAGGTGATTTGGGTGTTGAAATAAATGTATTTTGAGGACAAAATATTCTGTTGGAGCAAACTGATTTTGGTCTGATTTCGAGGGACAAAAAGGCATGGTTGCAGTTTGAACCGGATTTTGTGTTCTTCATAAGAAATGATTATCGAGATGTTTTTTGTGACATATCCAAAATTGAGAATTTTTGGAGTTCGTTTACTATTTATTTTGATGGGATTCCGGTCACTGTTTAGGGTTCGGTTTAGGGGATTTTGTGACTGTTTTAGGGGCTGTTTGGGGTTGAATTGAGAGACTGGTTATTTGGTGATTGTGGACTGATTTGGCGACGAAAATTTGAGGTATAGAAAGCTTGGGTAGGACCGTGATGTTGTGACTGGATTGGGGTTGAATTGTGCAATCGATCAGTGGGAATTATGCTATGAATTGAATTGTGTACGTGATTGTGTGATTTGTGATCGTGGGCTGATTTGGATTATGCTTGGGCTGAATGTGGATTGGTGATATGCAGTGTGTGCTTGGCCGTGAGATGTGGTGGTGTGATAGTGCATTCGCATATTGTATTCGCGTGCCAAGAATGTGTGATTGGGTGGCGTGTTCGTGGGACGAGAATGTGAAATTGTGAAATGTGTGTGAGGTGTGCGTGTTTGGCAGTGTGTAGGTGTGGCCGTGTGACAAATGTGGTTTGAGTGGAACGAAGGTACTGGAATGTAGGATTGGTTTGAAAAGTGAGACCCTGAGGCGTGTACGTTTACGCGGGGTGAGGTCCGTCCTGAGGCGTGTACGTTTACGCGGGAAGATGCCGTCCCTGACGAGGTGACGATGCCCGGCCCGACGGGGTGACGATGCCTGACGTGGTCAGAAGACCGTTGGCCTGATGCGTTTTACGCGGGCGCGGTAGAAGGAAAGTGTGTGTAGGATTCCGTCCTGAGGCGTGTTCGTTTACGCGGGACGATGCCGTCCCTGACGAGGTGACGATGCCCGGCCCGACGGGGTGTCGATGCCTGACGAGGTCAGAAGACCGTTGGCCTGATGCGTTTTACGCGGGCGCGGTAGTGGTGGAAAGGTTGAGAATGAGCGGGAATTGGCTTGAGGTGCGAGGTTTGAGAAAGTGACGCGTGGTGTGAGTTGGTGTGCGAGTGTGTTTGTATCGCGTAATGCAGTGCGCGATTATGGGGTAAAATCTGCTAGGCATGGTATGGGACGTGCCCAAGTAGGTTTTGCTTTATAATCGAGGCACGCGCGCGGCTGTGATGTACTGCTGTGGTATGATTGGCGTGTGTATTGATATGTGGAAAGTGTGTGATGGCATGTGTGCAAGAATTGTATGTTGGGATTGTGGGCTAACGTGCACGGTGCGTATGCAGAGAGTCCAGGTATGTGTGAATGTTTGATTGCTGGTTGTGTGGTTGTTTGGTTGCGTGTTTGGATGTGTCTGGAATTACGTGATAGCCTAGGTGGGGCTTAGGTTGTGACTTATTGAGATGTGATCTCATGGTTGTTTCAACCAAACCATTTCAGAGCCCCCGCCTGAATGTCGAGATTGAGGTCGACTCGGAGTCGTCGAGTGAGCGACAGTGCGGAGGATTGAGGTGGTGATGCGAGAGGACGGTGAGTCGAGTGGACGCCTTCGAGAGGCGTAGGGGATAGTTCGGGAGGAGGATGCGCCCCATTTTTGGATAGTGCTTGACCTAGAGAGGCGATCTTGATATTTTGGTGGTTTGGAGTTTATAGTTCGGTGTGCTTATAAATTATTTTGTGGTTTGTATTGCCGGATGATGTAAATATTTGGAAGTGTAATATATGCTTGGTGGTTTGACGATTTGTTCCTTCCTGGTGTTCTCCAATTTTAATGTCCGGGATTTTTTATTGCTTCCGCCGCGAGTTAACTCTGATGGATCGTTGGGTCAGCGACGTTATTCCTAGGACGTCGCACTCTGTTCGACCGGAGGCGGGATGTCGCGGGCTCGACGGGGGTTCGGGGCGTGACATCCCAGTTTGAATTGGTATCAGAGCAAGGTTAGCTCGATTTAAGTCGATCGAAGCTTGGAGTGATAAGGAGTGGAGACCCAGGATAGCTGTAGTTAGTTAGGGAGACTTTAGTGAACCATAGTGTGTCTAGGGCTACGTGTATTTCGAGACTGTTGTTGTGATTGTTGAGTGAATTGGGTGTTTTATTGGAATGCAGGTGCGTCTGGACCTGAGGTAAGTGCACGAACTCTTTTGATGTGGTTTGGTGCCGTGTGATTGATTGCCTGCTAAGTGGATTACTGTGTCAACTCACTGCCTAGGACTAGACTGGGTTAGTTGGCCTAAGTCTTTAATTCCTAGATGGAATTATAGCAGATAGGAGAGTGATAGAAAGCTGGGACGATGAGCAGCCAGGGAAGGGGTGCAGGAAGAGGAGTACGGGGTCGAGGTCGTGCTCGAGCTAGAGCTGTAGAGGACATTGATATGGGTGCTAGAATGGTAGAAAACCCTGGAGTTGGTGTAGGAGCTGTAGTGGACCCCCGAGCTGGTGTTAGACCTGCGAAAGATCTGCGTATGGAAGAAGTCCTCAGAGTATTAAAGAGGATTGAGAATATGATGGATAAGATGTGCATGTTGTTGGGATGTTCAGACTGTGAAGTGGTGTTTGGTGCTGTGTTAATTATGTGTGATTTCGGTTTGATCGTGGGCTTGGATTGGTTAGTTAAACAGAATGCTGTAATGGATTGCAGCAATAGGGTGATTCAGTTTAGTCTGGCTGGACACCTTAGATTTGAGATTGTAAGGAGTCGAGAAGGAACCTCGATAGTTGCGCTGTTGATATGATTTAAGTAAGAGATCTTATTGGATGACCAGTTTGGAAGGACTATACGGACTGTAGAGGATATGTTGGGAATATGTATATTGGATTTTAGGGGCAAATGGGAAGGAACAAGTTTTAATGAATAAGACGGTCCCATTGATCAAAGACGTTTGAGATTATTACGGGACAGAAGGTACCATTTGGGAGAAAGGAATAATGAGACGTCATCACCCCCACCTGTTTGGATAGCAGGTATAGTTGTAAATTTCGAGGACGAAATTTTATTAGGGGGGAAGAATTGTAACAGTCTGAATTTTCGATCCTTTTCTCGGGATTTAGGAAATGAATTTGATCAATGCACTTATAGTGAGATCTCACCCGGAAAATTACGATTTTGCCCCTAGGCTTATTTTTGGGTATTCCGAATATTGGGGATTTTGGAAATTGAATTTGGGGATTAAGTGTGGATAAATATCAGCCCCAAAATATTGGACAAAAACGCCCTTAGATATTTTGGTTTGGAAGAATGTGGACCAAGTGTTTTAGGGGCAAAATTGGAATTAAGAAAAAATTGGTCAAACCTTGGACCAAATATTTAATTGTTTCTCTCCTCTCTCTCTCTCCTCATTCCCTCTCTTCTCTCGGCAGCCCCTCCCCCAACAGAGAACTCTCTCCCTCTCTCCCTCACCAAAAATCCTCTCATCTCTCTCTCGGCCTTGGACCGCCGATCATCGCCGGAGCATCGCCGGAGCAAGCCGCCACCGCCGATCGCCGCCGGCCAGCCGTTCCCCCTTGCCGCTCTAGCCGAGTTAGTCTAGAGTTCGGGTAAGTCGCGATCTAATTCCTATTTAGGACGTCGGGTATTTTCGGACTCGTTCGGGTATGGTTTAGAGGATTTAGAGGGCGATTAAGGTGTCGATAATGGTTTTTGGTGACTGATCGTGGTTGTTGATGGCTGATGGTGACTGTTAGCGGGTGCTGCGGGTTGGATTAGACGTCGGGAAATGAGTTTAGGTGGTTGGAATTCGGTAGGAATCGGTTCGGGTTTGAATCCGTGAGGTTCGGGGTGAATCGCGGATTCGCGGTTACTGTACCTTCCCGGTTTGCTATTTTTGTAGAGAATTTTGGGGGCCGAATTTGAGGAAATTTTCTTCATGAAAATTTCTCCCAACATCTTGATGTATAATATACTTTAATTTGGGAATTTTTGGAAATCATTTGAGACCATTCGGAAGTCCATCTTTGGACCGAAATAAAACTGCCCGATTTACTGTTCACCCGACCTTCGGGTCTGTTCGAATTTTTATAAATTTTTCCAGACCTATTTTCAAAATTCTTCCTTCACAAAAGTTGTTGGGAACATTCGTGGCTATAACATATAAAAATTTCAAAGCTTTTCAAGGTGATTTGGATGTTGAAATAAATGTATTTTGAGGACAAAATATTCTGTTGGAGCAAACTGATTTTGGTCTGATTTCGAGGGACAAAAAGGCATGGTTGCAGTTTGAACCGGATTTTGTGTTCTTCATAAGAAATGATTATCGAGATGTGTTTTGTGACATATCCAAAATTGAGAATTTTTGGAGTTCGTTTACTATTTATTTTGATGGGATTCCGGTCACTGTTTAGGGTTCGGTTTAGGGGATTTTGTGACTGTTTTATGGGCTGTTTGGGGTTGAATTGAGAGACTGGTTATTTGGTGATTGTGGACTGATTTGGCGACGAAAATTTGAGGTATAGAAAGCTTGGGTAGGACCGTGATGTTGTGACTGGATTGGGGTTGAATTGTGCAATCGATTAGTGGGAATTATGCTATGAATTGAATTGTGTACGTGATTGTGTGATTTGTGATCGTGGGCTGATTTGGATTATGCTTGGGCTGAATGTGGATTGGTGATATGCAGTGTGTGCTTGGCCGTGAGATGTGGTGGTGTGATAGTGCATTCGCGTATTGTATTCGCGTGCCAAGAATATGTGATTGGGTGGCGTGTTCGTGGGACGAGAATGTGAAATTGTGAAATGTGTGTGAGGTGTGCGTGTTTGGCAGTGTGTAGGTGTGGCCGTGTGACAAATGTGGTTTGAGTGGAACGAAGGTACTGGAATGTAGGATTGGTTTGAAAAGTGAGACCCTGAGGCGTGTACGTTTACGCGGGGTGAGGTCCGTCCTGAGGCGTGTACGTTTACGCGGGAAGATGCCGTCCCTGACGAGGTGACGATGCCCGGCCCGACGGGGTGACGATGCCTGACGTGGTCAGAAGACCGTTGGCCTGATGCGTTTTACGCGGGCGCGGTAGAAGGAAAGTGTGTGTAGGATTCCGTCCTGAGGCGTGTTCGTTTACGCAGGACGATGCCATCCCTGACGAGGTGACGATGCCCGGCCCGACGGGGTGTCGATGCCTGACGAGGTCAGAAGACCGTTGGCCTGATGCGTTTTACGCGGGCGCGGTAGTGGTGGAAAGATTGAGAATGAGCGGGAATTGGCTTGAGGTGCGAGGTTTGAGAAAGTGACGTGTGGTGTGAGTTGGTGTGCGAGTGTGTTTGTATCGCGTAATGTAGTGCGCGATTATGGGGTAAAATCTGCTAGGCATGGTATGGGACGTGCCCAAGTAGGTTTTGCTTTATAATCGAGGCACGCGCGCGGCTGTGATGTACTGCTGTGGTATGATTGGCGTGTGTATTGATATGTGGAAAGTGTGTGATGGCATGTGTGCAAGAATTGTATGTTGGGATTGTGGGCTAACGTGCATGGTGCGTATGCAGAGAGTCCAGGTATGTGTGAATGTTTGATTGCTGGTTGTGTGGTTGTTTGGTTGCGTGTTTGGATGTGTCTGGAATTACGTGATAGCCTAGGTGGGGCTTAGGTTGTGACTTATTGAGATGTGATCTCATGGTTGTTTCAACCAAACCATTTCAGAGCCCCTGCCTGAATGTCGAGATTGAGGTCGACTCGGAGTCGTCAGGTGAGCAGACAGCTGCGGAGGATTGAGGTGGTGATGCAGAGGACAGTGAGTCAGAGTGGACGCCTTCGAGAGGGCGTAGGGGATAGTTCTGGGAGGAGGATGCGCCCCATTTTTGGATAGTGCTGACCTAGAGAGTTGATCTTGATATTTTGGTGGTTTGGAGTTTATAGTTCGGTGTGCTTATAAATTATTTTGTGGTTTGTATTGCCGGATGATGTAAATATTTGGAAGTGTAATATATGCTTGGTGGTTTGACGATTTGTTCCTTCCTGGTGTTCTCCAATTTTAATGTCCGGGATTTTTTATTGCTTCCACCGCGAGTTAACTCTGATGGATCGTTGGGTCAGCGACGTTATTCCTAGGACGTCGCACTCTGTTCGACCGGAGGCGGGATGTCGTGGGCTCGACGGGGGTTCGGGGCGTGACAAGGCACACCACCACGTCAACGATTTTCAGCGAAAATTAGTTGAAACAATTACATTAGAAGTTCGTGTAAAGGTTTGGCATATATAACATAAAAATTTTCAGCAAGTTTAAGACTAAATTGGCCTATATACAATAGGTTTATGAGTAATTGGACAATTTTCCCTATTGCCTGTGGTTATTCATTATAGTTAAGGCTCCATTTATTTCACGGAAAATGAATAATTTGAAAAATATATTTTTTTAAATAATTGCATGTATCGTTTACATAAATGCATGAAAAAAACATATTTTCATCATTCATGAAAATGTTTAGACATAAATTGTTGTCGATAATGAAAACATTTTTTATTGACTAATTATTTCAAGCGATATAAGCGATTATTTTTCGGAAAATATTTCACAGATCATTCATTTTTCGCAAAACAAAGGCACCCTGAGTAGCTTTGTAGCAGATGAATAATCCTACGATAACCAAAGTAAAAAAGAATTCCTAAAGTTTCCCAAAGGGAAACTAATGTATTTAAGACGAAGTCTAACAATATACCAAGTTGTTTATATGGCTGATGCATATCTTCGAAAGATTTCTTTTCCTATTCTTCATTGTTTATTTTATTAGGTCGAATTGGTACGCCAGATTTCCACGGATCTTGTGAGATCCTTGGAGGAGTTGCAAATAACCATTGTTTATCAAACAGTATGACGCATCGCCTCAACGACAGATCGACAACTCCAGGTTTTGTGATACCAGTTAAAAAATATTTTGGATTTTTTTTTGGTCAGAAATTTTTTTAGAATTTGTTTCCTTAATAATTGAAAATAAAGAAAACTCAAATCGAGGAGGCGAGGGCCATCGAGAACCACCTTAGATCTGTCGGGTGTTATCATCATTCGTGAGACTGATATTGTACCAAAAGTTCTATACGTGATGCAATCTTCCTACATCATGAACCCTCCATTATCTTGGATGGATACAGACATCTACGTTATGTGAATGATTGAGTTCTTGCAATTTTTTTTTTGTTTCATCGTCCTTCTTCTCGTAAACTCTTAAGTAATTGCCACATGAGTTGATATAGATATCCAAATCTATTGAATCACTCGTGTTATAATCTTCTACACTAGTATGAGTAATCCTGTTCCATCATGTGACTTATGTTTTTCGCGTGAGGTTCTTTCAGGAAACGACATTTGACAGGGCATTCCCATTTTCACGACAAGGTCCTTAGATATTATGCATTTCATATTTCTCATGTTGAATTACCCATGTTATGAAACCCATCTTCATACTTCCGACACATGTAGACCCCCAACTTATCTCCAACAACATTCAAGGATAAAGTTCCACATTCATCTTTCTGTCTAAATGTGAATGGAGTATGTAGAGTCGGCATTGGCAAATCGATACGTGGCGCCTACGTGCACTAGTTTCTGAAAAATTTACATTTTTAATTTTTATCCTTTTAAGGATGTTTCATCTTTATCATGAATCTTATGGGAAATGTCAATTCGAGGCAAACTATTACTCGACGCTTCCTATGTTTTCAGGTGTGCACAATCTGACTGATAGCCCCATTAAGACTGATTCCATGATATGCATTAATTTGACATCCACGTTTTCAGTATAGAACCACATAGAAGTATATCTAGGGGGAAAAAGATCATCTCTAAATAATTTAACCACTGCTCTAAATCGCTATTTTATAATTAAAATATCTAGAAAGTATATGAGAAACATTCAAACTATAGTATTAAGGATAAAGACACCATAAGTATCATAACTTTCGTACAGTATTCACTTGACACTACAAAAAAACATGTAATTTGTGACGGAAATTTTCCGTCGGAAATTTGCGACGGATTATATTTTCCGTCGCAAATTAGCGACGGTTTATTTCCGTCGCAAATTTGCGACAGAATTTGCGACGGATAAAAAATCCGTCGGAAATTTGCGACGGAATTTTTATCCGTCGCAAATTTTCGTCGCAAATTTGCGACAGAAATAAAAAACCGTCGCTAATTCCGTCGCAAATTTGCGACGGAAAAAAGTTCGTCGTAAATTTCCGATGGAAAAAAAAAAACCCGTCGCAAATTTGCAACGGAAAATAAATCCGTCGCAAAATTTTCGTCGCAAATTTCCGACAGAAAAAAAACCGTCGCCAAATCCGTCGCAAATTTGCGACGAAAAAGCACGTCCGTCGCAAATTTGTAGTTTATTAGCCCGTGATATTCCAACCCTATCTCTCTCTCGCTCTCTCTCGCTCTCTCTCGCTTTTCTCCCTCTTTCATATGTCTGAAATCAGCAAAATCCGCGCACGCACATATTAATCTCAGTGAAGCTTTTGTACCGGTAAGTATCATAGCTAGCTTCGTGACTATTCATCGTTGAATTGTAATTTCTTTTATTTTATATATGTTTATGTTTGTTTTTTTTTGTATCTGCATCACCGGTTTAACGACCGGCGACCGGCGACACCTCGCCGGCCTTTGGATGAGGCCGAACGGCCACGCCGTTTTGCGACGGAAATAGTTTCCGTCACAAATTTGCGACGAATAAATGAAAATTCCGTTGCAAATTTGCGACGGAATCAAGGAAATCCATCGCAAATTTGCGAGGGATGAATTCCGTTTCCATCGCACATTAAAAATTATTAAAAAATGATTCTTAAGTGATTATTTTTTTTTGGGTATGTGTCTAATTGAAGGTCTCGCAATCCAAGTGGACGTTGCAATTCTCATCAAATTGACCACTTTCTCCTACCAATATTTCAGTCAAATATTTGGGTAAGTCTTCTTTACATGGCAATTTTTTTTATTTTTGCAATTTCATATTAATTGTTGCGTGAATAACAAAAATTATAATTTCCAAAATTTTATGGTTTTAATTAAGAACAATAGATATGATATTTTAAATATTTTACCAGAATTTTTTATTTTAATACAGACACAATGCAAAGAGAAAGGGCTTGGATGTATAATAAGAACTTACCTGGACGTCAAGGATTGACGAGATGAGTTTAAATACTGTGTTGGAACTATTTTTAGACTTTGCTAGTAGTAAATATGAGTTCATTGACGGAAATAAGTTAAGGTGTCAGTGTAAAAAGTGCGGTAATGGTAAATTTCTTGTGTGTGATCAAGTTAGAGAACACCTTACTAGATTTGGGTTTAGTCCGAACTATTATAATTGGACTTCCCATGGTGAACCATTTATATCTGATGAAGGATATGGAAGAAGTGACCAATTTTCAGTTAGGGAAAAATGTGGCTATTATGAGCAATTGAACCCATACTAGAGGATGGTGATTGATGCAGCTAGTTATAATTTTGTCACAGAATCAAATCATGCAAGTACTAGTTTTACTCCTACACGTGAACAAGTGGGTACTAGTCATGCTTCACAATTGGAAGATATAGGAGTAACGGGTTTTGATGAGAATGTCTATAATGAAACTTTTCAATCTAATCAGTTCCGGGATGTGTTGAAAGCAGCAGATGAACCTTTATGGGCAGGTTGTGAGGACCACACTAAGTTATCGGTGATAGCCCGACTATTAAATATCAAGGCAGAGCATAATGTGTCTGCGGATTGCTTCAACTCTTTTGTTGAAGTAATGCGGGAATCATTGCCTCGTGATAACATCATGCCAAGTGATTTTTATGATATGAAAAAGCTAGTGGATAACTTAGGTCTTCCGGTTGTAAGGATTGATGTATGTAGTAGGGGTTGTATGATATATTGGAGAGATGATGAAAATGCAGAATCTTGCAAATTCTGTAACCAACCTAGGTACAAGATTAACAGGAGGCCGGGTCGTAATTAGAAGCGTAGACCATGCAAGCAAATGTTTTATCTGCCCTTAATCCCCAGATTGCAAAGGCTTTATGCGTCTAAAGCCACTGCTGAACACATGACTTGGCATGCAAATCATGAAACAGAAGAGGGTCTAATGTGTCATCCTTCAGATGCGGAGGCATGGCAACATTTTGATAGAACATACCCTGAGTTTGCGATGGAGCCTCGGAACATCAGGTTAGGTCTCTGTGCCGATGGATTTGCTCCATTTGGGAAAATAGGAAAAAGTTATTCATGTTGGCCAGTTATCTTAACGCCGTACAATCTTCCACCTGGTATGTGCATGAAGACACCTTATATGTTTTTGAGATTGATCGTGACAGGGCCGCAAAATCCGAAAAAGTTGATAGATGTTTATATGCAACCATTGATTGAGGAGTTACAACGGCTATGGGTTGAAGGTGTCCCTACGTATGACGTTTCTACCGATCAAACATTTGTAAAGAAGGCTGCCCTTCTTTGGACGATAAATGACTTTCCAGCTTACGGAATGTTATCTGGATGGAGTACAGCTGGGATCTTAGGATGTCCGATATGTTTGGAGAGGTTAAAGTCATTTAGATTAAAACTTGGAAAGAAGCCCAGCTATTTTGACTGTCACAGACAATTTTTACCGCCAAGTCATCCTTTCAGAAGGAATAAGAAAGAGTTCACCAAGAATAGGACTGAAAGAACGCGTCCACCATTGAGGTTGACCGGCGATGAAATTTGGGAGCGTGTGCAGGACTTTCCAACTGTTGTTGAGAACCTGCACGGCACGACTTTTGCGTACGGAAGTACACATAAGTGGACAAAACGCAGTATATTTTGGGATCTACCATATTGGAAGGCCCATCTTATTCATTATAATCTTTTTTTTTTTTGGTGTGAATGTAAGTATTATAAACCAGATGAAGTACAGCAGCTTAGGGGCATCCCCCAGCAATACAAAAAAGAGCTAATGATTCAAAAAGATGGAGGTAGGAAGTCTCCATATAGTAGCTAATA